CTATAAATTAAATAACCTTGCTCAACTTGTTAATTACACATCATAAGCATTTCTAGCTCTTACGTGAGTATTCTAATCAATTAGTTTTACCTTTCTCACAGTTAATTTATGAGATATCTTGAAGAGGGCAGTGTGCTTAGTTTAAACGATACGCAGAATTAAAAACAAAAGAGCCAGGATCTTCAGTCCATCTCCATTCCTCTAGATTTCAAGCCAGTTTCAGAATGCTTTAGAAATCTTGGAAAGTTCCAGCTCTTATTATATGTAAGTGGAAAGCATTAGGGAGCTTGTGTATTCCAGGGCTCATAAGTCAAAAGCAAAGCAAGAGGAGACTGTAAACTCTGAAATTGATCTTTCATTACATCAGTTTTCTAACATCTGAATTTAGGAGGCCCTTTTGCGAAGAAAACTAAAGCTAATGGAAATTTGCTCCTTGAAACAGTTACTACAGAGTCTAGGCCAAAAGGTTCTTAATCCAGCTTTTGTAGGCAGTCATATAGATGGTGAGATCTTTTAGCCACCACCCCCCCACTTAGAAAATGACACAGCTACTGGGCTAGGTATTAGAACAGATGAGAAGTATTCCCGTGTTTAAATTCCCCATTGTGATGGCTGCATCAAGTTTGGCATCTTTTCAGGTCTGACTTGTAGTATCCTCGATTCCAAAGACAACATGTGAAGATAGTCTTTTCAGAAAAACACTGCAGGAATTTTGTCTCAATTTGTTACTATCTTGCTTTGTCGATTTACCGAGTTTGCTGCTGAGAGAAGTATCTTATTTGATAATGAGAGAACAGTGAAGATATTGCTTAGATATGTTAAAGCACTATGTAAGATTAAAGTGATGTGTGTAAAATTGAACGAGATACTGAGATGGACTGGCAAAGCTCACATTCAGTTTCGGCGTCAAATTTCCATCAGTCCGTGTTTGAATGTAGCTGAACTCCCCCATCTTGGAAGTTAGATCGGTATAAATCTGTGTCAAGAATTAGCTGGGAAGGGCTAATGTTCATTACTTGATGGTGAGTGTGTGATTCAATTTTCGATCCACCCCACCCCCGTGGACGGAGTCAGTCACTGAAAAACGCAGTTTCACAGAAGGGAGTCTCTTGCTCCACCACTTATTGCTTCATCATTTCTCAAGCCTGCATGCCTCAGCTTAGACTAGCTTCCCCATCAAGGCAAATCTTACAGGTTTCTGCAAACAGTACATGTCGCAGAGTTGTGGGTAAGGAAAATTCCAGAACAAAAAGATCTGGGGAGGGGGAGATAGTTCCCATTAGTTGAGCTATTTTCCTCCTTTTACAGATAAAGAACTTGAGGCACAGAGAAAGGGTGGGTTTACGCTTTGAAGCTTGGCAGTCCGGTACCCGAGAGGCCAAAGTGAGAAGCATTTGAGATACTTTCAAAGAAAAGTGCGAGGCAGGTCTTTCTTTTGAAGTCCTGCCACACGAAAGGAAAAAGAACAAAAAAAACTAAGTAGCCAAGTCAGCAGCCAGTGTTGATTTTGCCTTACTCTAGTCCCCTTGACTCTTCATTGCTGAAACCTTCCTACTTCCTTCCTGCTGCGGGGGCGGAGGCTCCGGGGAACCCTTTTTCCAACGCCGAAGGCCACACCGACAACTAGGTCGTTGGCTTCCACGCTTGGGGAAACGAGTTCCTTCTGTTGGAGACGTAACGCCCTCGGGTACGCGCAGCGCTTAAGGAGATAACTCAGAAGTGGAGAACCGCTCCCTTCTTGAAGCCGCTGCTGAAGGCGGGTCGCACCCAAAGCAACGCGGGAACCGGGCAAGGCGGGGCTTCATCACCCGCACGGGGCTGGGCGGGGCTTCCTCACCCGCGCTGGGCGGGGCGAGGCGGGGTGAGGCTTCCCCAGCCGCTCTAGGGTGGGGCGGAGCTTTCTCATCCGTGCGAGGTGGGGCGGGCGGGGAGGAGCTTCTCCGCTCGCCCCTGGGTGGGGCCGGGGATGGGGCGGGGCTTCCTCATCCTCGCGGGGCGGAGCCGGGGTAGGGCGGGGCGGAGCTCTCCTCTACCAGCCCACCCTAGATCCCTCTACTGCGCATGGCACGTTGCGTACCTCTCCCAGCAACCGGCCTGGCGGCGGCGCGGCCTTAAACTAGGGAGGCGGAGCTGAGACGGGGTCGAAACTGCCTGCTAACTTCAGGACCAGGTACCGGGCTGGAGGGGCCGCCTGGTGCGCTCCAGGGATCAGTCCTTCCTCGCCCCGACGCCGATTCCATCTCCCCAGGGGCGGGCCTTCAGCAGAGCGGCCATCCTAGGTACCCTCCTCACCTTCCACGGGCCCCTTTTCACCCGAATCCTTCTCGATTCCCAAGATGAGGGGCTGCAGCCCGAGAGTAGACTAGGCTTCGGCCTGGCCCGGAGACACCGGAGCGGAGTTGCCCTGCGGGATAGGCGAGCGCCTGCTTTCCCTCTCCCTTTCCTCTCTCATTTTCAGGTGGGAAACTTGGGGCCCAGATGGTAGTTTGTCTGATCCTTCAAAGAGGAGCCATATCCTATTGCTGCCTTCTCCCTGCACCTACCCCCACCGCATCCCCATCTCATCCCAGGCTGGATAGGCAGTGAGTCAAGCCCTCTTAACGACAGAGATCCAGGTGACTCCCAAAATCAAACTAAACAGAGCTTCTAATTATCTTGTTTTCCAAAATGTTTAAATGCCCACGGTAGATTTCGGGTGAAGATGGGGTGCGGGTAGGGGAATAAGTGCGAGGGAAGGCGAGTGGTTAAATAAAATTGTTCACGGTTTCAGGAAATAGGGAACTAACTTCTCTGCCCAGCCTTCTGCTAAGATATCCTGGCATATTCTAATTCGACTTCTTCCAAAAGAGGAAAAGCCTTTTGAATTGGTCCTTTTCTAATTGTAGTATCTGTTGACGTAGAACCATATTCCAATATGGGAGGACTTCCTGTAGCAGAGAACACCTGAGATGAGTAGTGAGGGACAGGTAAAAGTTAACCAGGTTGTAGGGAGGGTGTAGCTCAAGTGGTAATGCACATGCTTAGCATTCATGAGGTCCTAGGTTCAATCCCCAGCACTTCCTCTAAAAATAAACAAACCTAATTATTCACCCACCCCCACCAAAATAAAATAAATAAATAGTGCAATAATAAATCAAATATATTTATTTTAAAAGTTAACCAGATTGGGAGAGTGAAAATGGTCCAGAAAGGGAAGCAATATCTTTAAAGTTTCTTCCTTTGGTCTCCATTTCCTACCTGCCTTTCAAGCTCCATGTCCTAAATATGGACCTATCCCAAGGCTTGCTTCCCAGCCTTCTGCTTTTCTCTCACCATTTTCTTCTTTGGTGAATTTCTGTCACTCGTATAACTTTAGCTAACTCCCAAGACCACACAGCCTCTTTTAAGCATCAGTCTTAACTTTTCTAACTGAATGCTATGTATTTCCCCTTAGGATATATAACTGTTTTCTCAACCTCAGTATGACTTAAGAACTCAAACTCATCTTTACACCAAAACCACATCCACCTCTGAGCTTTCCTATTTTGTCTTTGACACACTACTCTTCCCCAGTTACTCAGCACAAAAAAATCGGAGTCGTCAGAGTTGTTCATAGGTAGAATGGATTCCCTTTTGAGTAGTGAGTCTCTGGCATGGGAAGTTTTGAAGCAGAGACTAGATAACCTTATATCCAGAAGTTTTTGAAAGCTATTCCTCCAAAGAGTGGAGGATGGGCTAGATGACTTATGGTGTCTTTACTAATTAAATTTCTTTATTTTTCCTTCTCCACTCTCCATCTATTTCTCAGCATTCCCTCTGCTGCAGGCTCTTATCGTCACAAAATTGGTCCCTTGTAATTGTATTCTAACTGGCATTCTTTTCTCTGGGTTATTTTCAACTCCCCTTCTCTCACCCCTTTGCAGGTTAATAATATTCCTTAGAATGTTCAGTAGAACGAGGTTTCTCAAATGTTAGTCAATATGGCAGCATTACCATCATATGGGAGCTTGTTAGAATGACTCCCTAATGAAAATCTGCACTTTAACAAGATCCTTAAGTGATTTGCATGCACAATAAAGTTTGAGAGACACTTATCTTAGACCACTGTTTTGTGTTTGTCAGCTTTCTGTTCAAAACCTATAGTGGCTTCTACTGCCTGCTGAATAAAATCCATACTCTAGCATGGAATTCGGGCCTTTTCATTGTTCTCATACATGTGGAGTTCTGCCTCTGTGACTGCCCTCACTTTACCTGGAGAGAATATGCAAAGTGCTGACACACCTTTCAGCACATTTGGTCACTCATTCAGTATTACTGAGTGCCTACTGTGTGCTGGGCACTATTCTAGAAACCAAGAGATACACCTATGGACAAGTAAGCACTAAATAATCAATAGTTAATACTATTTCCTGCTTGAAATTCCCATTTTCTTTAAGTCCTATGTGACATTTAAACCCTACCCATTCAATGAAACTATCCAGGCCCACCCCAACACATGGTAATCTTTCCCTTTGCTGAACTCCATAACTAGTTGCCCATTTCTACTTGTGCATTCCCCAGACCTGCTGAATTAAAATTTTTGGAGGTGAAAGGTCAGGCATCCATAGGTTTTTCTAAGTACACAAACTGATTTGAAACATGTCCTGGTTTGGGAACCAGTGGTTCAGATCATTAACGAAGCTGTTGAAGTGGCAGCTAGAACCAGTTCTTGGGTCTCTCCAAATGGGCAGTTATATTTGTTGATACAGTGTTTTGATTTTTTGTCTGTTTTTTGTGGGAGGGGTAATTAGGTTTATTTATTTATTTTTAATGGAGGTACTGGGGATTGAACCCAGGACCTTGTGCATGTACTCTACCACTGAGCTATGCCCTCCCTCTGATACAGTGTTTAGGAGTTGACTTTATTTTCTGTTTCCATTATTTTTTCCAGAGCATAGATAATTACTCTTGAGGATAAAAACCATGTTTATCTACATTAATATTTTTTCTTTCTGTTGTAGACTACTATTAAATTTCTTTTACATGATGCTTTTTGTCTAATGTTATTAGACAAAGTGCATTCGAATAATCTTGTTTTTCAAATTCAATCTTTATTTTTACTATTTCATGGCAAGATAAATGAGTCTAAACATGGTGGGGGGGCTTCTATAAGAAAAAGTTAGGTGAGAATAAATGCAATTTGATAAAAATCAATAGATGATTTTGAAAGGCCTCCTCATTCCCCTAGATTAAAAAAACATTGCTTTGCCTTCTTTGAAGCAGTTCTAAGGATTTCTAGAATTCTATGTACCAGACTAAGTCCCCCCCACCCTCCATTGTTATACCACTACCACAGCCCCTCACAACCCCAGCCCACCTCAAAAAAAGAAGGAAAATGTGGGAGATGTTTTCCTAGATTCTTCAAAAGCATTTCTAAATTATTTATCTTAAGTCATTTCACTTTTTACATCAACTTTATTGAGATACAATTTACCTATAACAAAATACCCTTATTTAAGTGTACAGATTGTTGAGTTTTGACAGATGCACTCACATCACCACCACGCAGTAAAGATGTAGAACTTTTCCATCACCCTGTAAAGTTATCATATGTCTCTTCGGAGTTGGCCCCTCATCTCACTATTGGTCCCAGGCAACCAAGATCTGCTTTTTGTCTTACTTTTACTTTTTCTAGAATTTCATGTAAATGGAAACAATACGTAGATTTGTCTGACTTCTTTCATTTAACATGATATTGTTAAAAATTTTTTAAGAACATGATATTGTTGCATATATCAGTAGTTTGTTCCTTTTTATTGCTGAGTAGTATTACATTGGTGTATATACCACATTTTAAAAATCCTTTTCAGTTGGTAGACATTTGGATTATTTCCAGTTTGGGGCTGTTGTGAATAATGCTTTTATGTACATTCATGTACAATTCTATGAGAATATGTTTTCATTTCTCTTGAGTAGGCTACCTAAGGAGCAGAATTTTGGGGTCATAAGAAGCTATTAAACTGTTTTCCAGAAAGGCCATACTTGTTTGCATTCTTGCCGGCAGTGTATGAAAGTTCCAGTTGGTTGATAAACTTTCTAACACTTGGTATTTACTTTTAGCTATTTTGGTGGGTGTTTAGTGATATCTCATTGTGGCCTTGTGTACATTCCCCCGATGACAAGTGACGTTGAACATCATCATGTGCTTAGTGACCACTTGCATATCTTCTGTTCAGATTTGTTGCCCATTATTTAAACTAAGTTGTCTTATGGAGTATAGAAATTCTTTATATATTCTGTGTATAAAGTCCTTTGTAGACGTACACACACAATATATTTTCTCACAATCTTTTCATTTTCTTTTCTTTTTTAAGTGAAAGTAGATTTATTGAAGAAGATACACACTCCATAGACAGAGTGTAGGCCATCTCAAAAGGCAAGAGAGGCAACCAGTCTTTTCATTTTGGCAGAAATTTTTAATTTTGATAAAGATCAGTTTATCATGTTTTTCCTTTATATTTCATGCTCTTGATTTTTTTTTTGAATCTTTACCTATCCCAAGATCATGATTTTCTCCTCTGTTTTCTTTACTAGTTTAAACTTTTCCTTTAGTTCTATGATCCATTTCAGATTAATTTTTGTGTACACCACAAGGTAAGAGTTGAGGTTCATTCTCTCTAAATAGTTACCAAGTTGTATCTAGACTATTTTTCCCCGTGAAATTACTTTGGCCGTTCTCTTGAAAATTAATTAACTGTATATGCATGAGTCTATTTCTAGATTCTCTGTTCTATTCCATTGATCCATTTGTCTATCCTTAGACCAAAATACACTCTCTTGATTACTGTAACATTAAAGTAAGTCTGGAAATCAGGTAATGTAAGTTTTTTAATTTTGTTCTTTTTCAAAATTATTTTGGCTATTTTAGGTCCCTTGTATTTCCATGTAAATTTTAGAGTCATTTCATCAATGTCTTTTAAAAAGTCTGCTGGGATTTTAATTAGGATTGAGCTGAATCTGTAGATCAGTTTGGAAAGAAACTGATATCTTAGCATTATTGAGTCTCCCATTTTATGAACATGGCATATCTCTTATTTAGGTCATCTTTAATCCCTTTTGGCAGTGTTTTATAATTGTAAATGTACAGGTCTTATCCATAATTTATTAAAATTATTCCTAATTATTTTATGTTTTTGTAGGTATTGTAAATGGTATTGTTTTTTCAATTTCACTTTCTAATTGGTCATTGCTAGGATATAGAAATTAAGTTGGGTTTTATAATTGACTTTCTTTCTAAATTCCTTAAGTATAGAATACTTAGAATTTTCTATGTGTACAATCATGTTGTCTATCAATAAAGAATTTTACACCTTCTTTTCCAATCTGTACACCTTGTATTTCTTCTTGCCTTTTTGCATTGGCCAAGGCCACTAGTACAGTGATGAACAGAAGTGATAAGAACATTCTTGCTTTGCTTCTATTTTCAGAGTAAACTCATTTGTTTTTTTTATTGCTAAGTAAGTTGTTAGCTATAAATTTCTTATACCTATCTTTTACCAAGTTGACTTAGTAAATTCTATTTCTATTTTATTCCTATTTGACTATTTCTAGTTACTGAGAGTTTTTTTTAAATCATGAATTGGTGTTGAATTTTGCTTTTTCTCCATCCACAGAAATGATTGTATTTTTTCTTATTTACTCAGCTAATAAGGTAAACTTATACATAATATAAAAATTGTATTATTTTTAAAAATCCCTTAAACTTGGTTCTTTATTTGCAAACAACTTCAAAGAAAGACAGTTTTGTATATACTGATCCATTTTTTTAATGTTAAGTCAATCTTTTATTCCTATGGTAAACCCCATTTGGTCATGATGTGTTATGCTTTTAGCCATTCTATAAGTTCGTAACTATAAATATCAAAGATAAAACAAGATCAGGGTGATTTGAAAAAAAGATAAGATACATTTGAGAAATGACAAAATTTCTTGGAAATGGGTAACTCAAATTTAAAACTTAGTAGAAAGGCTGGAAAATAGAATTTGAAGAAATCTCCTAGAAAGTGGAGACTTGTAAAGTAGGAGTGAAATAAGTATAATGCTAGGGGATAACTCTAGAAGTACACCTTTAACTGTTAGAACTTCTGTTCCTATCTCTTTTCAAAGAACTAATATTCCCCAGAATTGGAAGATCTAAATCTCCACACTAAAAAGACTGACTAAGTGCAACTGGCCTAGAAAGCAACCAGTCCAGAGCTGCAGCAGGGGGATGGAGGGCCTCGGGAAGGCAATCTCCAGGGAAACTTTGGAATGCATGAGTTTGAGTGTATGGAAAAATACATTGATAAGACTAATAGCAGAGATGTTGGGGTATTTGGGAAAAGTTAATAGCTACATGGAAAATAAAGCAAGCGAAAAAATGAGGCAGTTATTAACTCTAGAGGAAAAAAATGGGTGTACAAAAAAAGAAGACGTGATCATCTCTAACTGCCTCAACTAAGAACCGTGTTTGCATAATCATAGTAACATAAATGAGGACTATTGTTTTAATTAAAAACTATGTTAGAACTATGTTGGGAGAATGAAGGCAGTGAAGTAGGGTACAGGAAGGTGATATAGGAGAGCTGAGTCTTCATCTTCCATGGTAGGAAGTTAGTAGATAAATCTCTAAAGTGGGTAAGTCATGGACATAAACAGTATTTAAGATTGCTGATAAGAAGCAGGATAAACAGCCACAAGAATTGAAGGTAATTGCTTCTGCAAAGCGGTCAGTGGAGGACTGGGTCAAGAGAAATTTAAAAATTAATTTAAAGAAAAAACCATATAACAAACTTCTCTTTTCTTATAGAGATTGCAGTATTTCCAAACGTACTTGGCCAAAGTACACCCAGGTTTATTGTCATTGAAAGTTTCTCTAAACAAATCCTTAGAATCTAGCAATTTGTAGGTCTAGTACAGTGCTTTGAATGTAGACTCATGGTGAGTTTTTATTCATCAACAGGTATTTCTATAAAAGGAGATTTGACTAACTCAATTTGTGTCTATCTTCCTTTTAGGTTTAAATTTTTGAAATTGAAATAGGTCTACACATTAGGAACTCATGTCTTTTCTTGTAAGTAAACCAGAGCGAATTAGGGTGAGTGTTTCTATTCTTCTTGCTTTACTATTTTTATTTTCTGAAAAGCAATGTGTTTTGGCAGACATTGTAGGTGGTTTTTTTATGTGGTGCTCAGAATCATACACAAGTGAGGGATATATATAATGAAGCAGGTATTAAGGCCTCCACTCCTGAGAAAAGAGTTTGCAGGCAGAGACTGACCAGAGACACAATATGGCCATCAACTTGTCTGACAGAGAAGAAACAAGGTGGCCTATGTTAGGAATATCAGTCATGCCACATTAAGTTAGCTGCTAGCCCTCTTCAGTGTAGATACGTACCGGCTAGTGATCGTTCCATTTCCTATGTATTTTCAGTGAGTGTGTGTGTTTTAAAAATCAGCATCAAAAAAAGATCAGCATCACATTGTAATCATTGAAACACTTTTTTCTAAGTATATTCATAGGTATTACACCTCAGGATTTCACCAGCTAAAATGATCTCAAGAACAAATACTGGGTTTAGTTTCTTTACAAGCTTCTATAATTTTGTAAAAGACTGTCTTATTTTATTTATTATCAAGTACTTAATTTCTAAGTGCAGTAGTAATTATTTTAAAATTCTGTAACAGTACATATGTGCTGTGAGACATTATGAATATACCACTTTCTGTAAATATTAAGGTCAAGTTATATTTTGTGGTACAGTGCATATGAAGTTTTTATATCAAGTTTTTTTAATTTAGGGTATTCTTTTTTTAAGTTGGAAAATATTGGTATAGAGAAGGGCAGAGAATGATGTTATAGTTTCACTTCATAATCCATATTATGCGAATTATTTCTGAATGTTACTTAAGCTTCCTTTTTCTTCTGTTTATGTGTGTAAGAACAGTTTATATTGGAAAGAGTAACTTTCACTGTTAATTAAGAGAAAAAAACCCCAAATCTCTCCTTAGCCTGAACTCTACCCAGTGGAAAGGATGCCCCTGAGCCAAACTTTAATACCAGTCCTTAAGTGAAATGCAATCTTGATTCCATTGCTTTTAAATATGAGCTTCCTTTCTATTTCAACCTAGCCTGATTCGGATGAAACCAGACCACTGATCAGTATGCTGGAAATCTAATACTCGCTTGAAATAGGCCAGTAAAGTGAACCACGGTTTGGTCATGCTAGTTTGGTCCTTGTAAACCTGGCAGAAAATGTAAATGTTGGTTAATGTCTTCAGAAATCTTAGTGGATGAAAGAATATGCACTGTGCTGTTTCCTTTTACAAACTAATAGAGACTTGTGAAAAACTGTTTCAGCCCTGTTTTCTGTTTCCAGCAGTATTGTTCAAATTGGCATTAATTATCCAAAGCATCTGTAACAGACAGCCATGGAATGACTAAGATGGAAGCAAAGGCAGTTTTATATGCAGGAAGGATGAAAACATTCTTCATTTTTAGGACCAGTACTACTTGTTTCTCTTCTGTCAGATTTAACAATTGTTCATCAAATTAGGCAAAGAAGAATAGAGAAAAAAATTAATCTATTGTTTTCAATTGGTTTAAATCCAAGATTGTTCTCAAAACTTTTCCATAGAAATGTATCTTAATTGTACTACATGATTCTGTTTTTGTAGTTATGAATTTGTTTGTCTATCTAATGGCTGATAGCTAATTTGTTGTGCCTTGGAAGAAATACTAATTCTCTTTGGGGTTTTCCTCTTTAGCGGTGGGTCTCGGAAAAGTTCATTGTTGAGGGCTTAAGAGATTTGGAACTATTTGGAGGTAAGTACAGTATGGCATTTAGCTATCACTTCAGGATAAATACCACTACCCTTTATTGATTAAATCATTGTTATAGACGTTAGTGATTTGAAGGACAAGTCATACTATATATTTGGCTCCTTTTTGAAGCCATGGTTTCCCTAAAATTTGAGGACTAATCTGGCAGTTGGCCCCCGCCTGTCTTGATTGTTAGAACGCCAATATTTACTTAAAAACACACATTTCTTCTAAGTATTTGTCAAGTTGAAATACATATTTTTAGAGGAAAAAGCTAGATATTTAAAAGTCTTTATCCTTGAAGATTTAAAAAATAAAATTATAGTCAGGACAAAGGCAGCAGTGATATAAAAGTTATAGTTTTACAGACCAATCTAGTTGGCTCATCTTTTCATGGTAGAAATTGTGAGACTTAAGAGAACTAAGGAAAAAATCTGTAAGGCAAAAATATTAACTTCTATTGTAACACCCAAATGTTGATTCAGAAGCAAAGTACATTTGCAGTTTTGAGGTTTAACAGACCCAGACATTCCCCTTCAGTTATTTTCAAATTGAGCTTTTTGGGGAACTGTGATCTTAATTTAAAGCAAAGAAAATTCTTTTTCTTTTTTTGTTTTCTATTTAATTGGAGGTACTGGGGATTGAACCAGGACTTTGTGCATGCTAAGCATGCGATCTACCACTAAGCTATACCCTCCCACTTGAACGTTCTTTTTCTATAAAAAGAATTGTAGTAAAGCCCCGTTCTTTGCGTCTGAACACCAGGGTACTCTCTTTGGCTCCTATAGCCAAAGAAATGGGTTATCAGATTGTGCACATTGATTGACTGGTCCAGAATACCCTCTAGAGGCTTGAGTAATTGAAAACTCAAACTTATTAGTTACTAGGTGGTACCTATTAATTCATTTTCCTAATGCTACTCAAAGAACTTTTGGCATTGTATTATTCATGAACTTTGTCAAAGGGTTGTGTTTTAGACAAATAAGAGTTTAGAAGAATGATGAGTTATTTTTGATTCAGTTATAAAGAATAAAAATAAGCTGCACAATAAAGGAAAGGCTAATGGAACACAAATACTATATTCTGGTCCTATTCTCATTTTTTCCCATCATTAATGAGAATACAAAGGTTTAAAAGTAAACATTAGCATTAATGGAAATTGAGTTGGAAGGCCAGTTTACAATTAATTAGTTAAAAATATTCTGGTTATATGAATTGGATTAATGGATTTTAGTTTCAGTGTCTTGAGTGTAAGATCTCTCCCTATCTTTTGATAATTCCCTAGTCTCTGGTCTGAGGAGGATAAAGAGATTGTTCTATATATTGTTTACATCTTGATGAAGTGTATATTACCAAGTTTGTACAGCTTGAAATTTGCCTTCTGCTCTGGAATACTGAGTTTGACTTCCTCTCATCTATTCATCTGGCTTCTTGCTTTTGACAGACTGTCTTAGGCAACTGCTCCTGCTATCTGTGTACCGGGAAACTGATGTCCAAGGCACACACACACACAAAATCTGATTTTGATAAATTGAGGCTAATTTATTCTGCAGCCAATCTCTAACAGCATAACATAAAATATTTGGTAATGTGTAATCATTTCAGTACTTCACAGTTAAAAATTTGATCATTTTTATCACTTTTACAGGATGGAGAAAATCAAAAGCACAGATATGAAATTTGTCTGATTTTGAAGCAGAAAGTCGTTTCAGTTGTCCTTTGCTTTATTTGTTTTCACCAGGAGTAGCAGAGGGTCAAAAAGCCCTTGCTTTATTTTCATTCAGAATAGCTTGTATCTGGCTGGAGAATCCTATTGGGTAATGATCCCACAAAATGATCCCACATGTTGCTGTATAAAAGTTTTTGCTTTTTTTTAAATTTTTTTGGTAAACCTGTTTTCTAGTCCCTACACTTCCTTGGAAATAGACAGGCAGGTCTATAACTTTATACTGAATTTTTTGTTCACAGCATAAGACTCTGAAACCAGCCTATTGAAAGTAGCATTGTGTGCTGATGGAAAGTCACTGTATGACCAGAACTGCAGGAGTTGAGTTATACTCAGTAAAGAATGCCCTCTGTAGAACAGGAGCCTTGCCCAGTTTTGAAGAGCCATAGATTTACGTTTAAAACCCCGTCTATCTGCAGCATTTTTACTGTGGATCTCTGTGTCTGTGTGCGTGTGTTTACATGTAGCACTGCAGGCACTTTTTGCTATAATGATTCTTAAGTAGTTTCTATGAATAAACGTAGTCCTAAGTGCAATAGTTGCTGTTCTGAATGTGGGTGTGTCTTCTGCTAAAAACAAAATGCCAACAATCCATTTCTCTACTCCAGAGCAGCCTCCGGGTGACACTCGGAGAAAAGTAAGTGACTTTCTAGGCTCTAGCACCATGGCTGTTGCATGGAGATGATTTGTTGTGGAATTTTGTGAGTTCTTTTGTTTTTTGTGGTTGGCTTATCATTTTATGTTTCTGCTCATCTGTCATTGAGCTTTATTTATGGTGTAATTCTTCTACTTGTGAAGACTCAGGTTTCACCCTGGAGAGATTACGATATGTTCTGTGAAAACTGAAAGTCTCAGGCCTTTTCTGTCTCTCTTGGGGATTAAGGTCTCCTGTCCTTCCCAGCCCTACCAATCACCCACCACCCTCTCCAAAAACAAGAGAAAATGTCAACAGTCTAACATGCAGTTATCTTTTAGTGGCTAGTGGTACTAAATTTTCCAACCTTAGTCTGTTAATAATAGATTCCAGTCCACAGAGATAATATAGATCCCTGTCTATATTATATGGCAGGACCTCAAATCTCCAACTTTAAAAACAAAACCCCAAATCTTAAAGTACAAAACAAAATAATACATTATTTTATTGGCAGAAGTTACAAGACTCCTGCCCTGCCTCTTACTGTTCTAGTTTGTTTTACCAGTGGAAGTACAGCAGCCTACCATACCAAGCTGTTTTTGATGCTGTGAATCACTGTCTCACAAAAAAAGGATAAGAGCCCTTTTCTCCACAGACTTCTTCCTCTTCTCAGATGACAGACCTTTGTGCCTTTCGCAGGGCAGCCCCAAGGTGAGTGCAGGATAATGCTGCTGAGGAGGGGTTTCTCTTTGAGTAAAGCTTGGCAGGGCTTTACTAGCAAAGAGCATCTTTCTATCAGATTCAGATATTTTCCAGTCAGGAGACCAAAAGCATGCCCCACAGGGTCAGTTAGGTATTTTTCCAGAGTACAGTACCAATTATATACAGTTTTTATATTTTCACAGCTGCCCACGTTATACCAAAAGCTATCCTGTGTGAAACCTGTGGGAGGTTGAATGTGTTTATTCGTCGGGCATTTCATAAATATTGTCTTTATGTGCTTTTTTGTCCTTTGTTTTAAACTCTTTAAACAAAGTTATTTTATGGTCATTTCTGAATATCAGTAACTTATGTATTTTTCAAATGCTCCAGAATGAACAAAGTGCTTTTCATGATGGGGTAAACTAAAAAAAGATTTTGACGGAATTAGTTTCTCGCTCTAGGCACTTGGAGCTTGTGCATTACACTAATACAACTATGCCATGCTGTGTTTAAAGAGAATGGACTTAATAGCTCATCCTTTTCATCTGAATTTTGACCTTTTCTAAATCTGAAACAGTATAATGGACTAACGTGCCTTTCTTGTGGTAAAGTCAGACCAAACCTCCTCCACTCAACATATTGCCTTTGTTTGTTTGTATTCCTAAACACAGGTTGGCTTCTCTCTGCGTTCAGACTAGAACATGCACAGAGTAGGAAGCCTCCATTTTAGGATCATTTCCAGTGAGCTGGGGACAGAATGGTGGAGGAACCACAGCAACCACCAGACTAGTTCTTTCCAGATTGCCCGATGAACTCACAATCCCAATTCCCTAAAGAATTTTATTTTCTAAAACTTAACATTTTTAAGTAGTTTTCTATAGTCAGCAAAGACGGGGGAAATATTTGTCAGGTTACAAAATAATCACATCAGTAGGTTTATGAATCATTCCCTTTTTAGGCTCAGAGAAAGTGCGTCTTCAGTGTGTAGCCTGGGAGGTGGCATGACTTACATGCACTCCTAGCAAGGAAAGGGGGGATAGGCAATTTAAAAAAAAAAAGCATCCTGTCTGTAGTTCTTCCAAAGGGAGTTATTTAAAGCATATTATTATTTTTTTTTTAATCTCAGGACTCAGCTATCCTTTATAGTCTTTTTTTTTTTTTTTGAAGTTAGAGAAGCATTAAGGAGTTTGCCTGGAGATCAGAGAAGAGACCTTCAAATACAAAGCAGTTGTAGATTTGTTTTAATTGGGCCATATTGTTACCTGCTGAAAAATGCAGTACTTTCTCATGTGCAGGTGTCAGGTTCTGATCTACACAGTTCCCCTAGTAACAGGGGAGCTAGTGAGTATGTTATAGGAGGGCTGGCATTTCCAGTCGAGGTCAGCATGTTGAACCATCTCCAGTGGAACTGGCTGGTTCGGTTGCTCTCCTCTTCAGCCCGTCAGAATGACAAGGTCATGGGCAGAAAACCTCCTGAGTTCAAATGTTGCTTGAATGATTCTTTTGTAAGGATGTGCCAGCATTGTTGTAGGCGCTGGGAAATACATCAGTGAAGAAGACAAGGCCCTGACCTCATGGAGCTCTCAATCTAGAGGAGGAGACGGGCAATAGATAAACTAAACTGCAGTGATCACTGTGAAGAAAAGAAAGCAAGATGATGCAGTAAAGTGACTGGGAGCCTCCCTGACTTTGGCTGAACAGTCTTCAGTGAATAGATGACATTTAAGTTGAGACCTCAGTGACAGGACAAGAAAGGTGGTGAGGGCAGGGAAGGAGTAGGGCAGGGGTGCTCCAAGCAAAAGGATGGCAGGTGCGAATTTGCTAAGGCTGTGCTTGTCCAGAGGGGTCCGGTGCAGCAGATCCGGGCAGTGTGGTGTGGGTTGGAGTCAGGGGAGCAGGTGGCGGCTGAGTCATGTGGAGACTCACAGGCCAGGGTAGAGGGGTAGGTGACCCTGATTTTATCGAGGAATAGATTGATTCCTGAGAAAACAGCATCTGCAGAGCAGCACGTGTGCAGCGGGTTAGAGGTACAAGGTGGAGATGGACTCTTCCAGAGGAACTTTGCATGCAGCTTAAATTCTCAGCCGCGGGGAGTCGCCGTTTCCGAGCTCGCGGCTTCAGCTTTTTGTTCACATCGCTACTCCGTTTTGTCCCTGGGTTGTCTGTACCTCTCTCACCTGTGTGAGGCCCCTGGCATGTAGTAACAAGTACCTTAAGGTTGTTTTGAAAACAAGATAGTTTCAAGAAGCTACAGTGGCTATTAAATGATCTGAGAATTTGTTTTCAGAGCATTTGAAAGCACAGATATGTGTAAAAACCAAAACCAAACCAACCTTAACTTATCAGGCTCTACTTAGGATTCTGTTTTCTGCATTCTCTCTGTTCTGTCTTCCTTGTTGAACACGAGAGTGACCAAAAGTAGGCAGCAAAAGGAGGAGGAGAAGAATAGAATTTATAGTTATTGAACACCCGTGATACCAAGTAGCATAAGTTCTTTACATATTTTATTTCATTTCATTGTCACGACAAACCTGTGAAGTGGGAATTATTCTACTGATGAGATGCCGAAGATCCCAAGGGTTAGAGGGACTTGCCCAGGGTCACAGAGTAGGTGATAGACTGAGTTCAAGTTCTGCCTGTCTCTGGACCCTAAGCCTAGAGTCTTCACATCGCACCGTATGTTTTACTCAAAATAGCCTTTCCCAAATTGGGCAGATGTTAGGCACAAAAGACTTCTCTGTACAGGTACCTCTGGGAAGTGTTAGGTTAAGCAAAGTTAAACTTTGTCAAACTACAGAACTTCTCAAAGCCTTTAACACAATACATAGTACCCGTTGTAACTGTCCATGAGAGAGAGTGCTGCATTTTGTAACTTACTTGGCCGTGTAAACTTCTTTCATGTGTTAACTGCCAGGATCAATGTTCCGTGGGGTCTGCTTTGGGGAAATCCTACAGAAAACAACTAGGTAGAAAAACGGACAGGAGACAGAAAGAGGCATTTTCGCTTTGGAGGAGTCCTGCATGGCCAATAAATACATGAAAAGATGCTCAACTTCATTAGCAATCAGAAATGCAAATCAAACCCACATTGATATTGGCAAAAATTAAATCTGAATATATCAAGTGTTAGGGGAAAGATGGATCAGTGAGAACATACTTGAATTGCCGGTGGGGGTGTAAACTGACATAACCATTTTGGAAAACAATTTGGCATTATCTCCTCAAGGTGAGTGTTCATATACTCTGACCTCCAGTTCTCCTCTTAGGTATAAGCTTTAGCATGTATGCGTCAGGAGAGATGTTCAAAAGTGTTTTTAGCAGCACAGTTCATAATAGCAGAACTGAAAAACAACCCAGAAGCCCATCAGCATTGGAAGGATAAAGTGAAGTACATTCACAAAATGAATATTGTACAACATGGGTGTACAACTTGGCTTTATATTTCTATATGTAATATATATAATAATATATGGGTGTATCTTAGAAATATAAAGCTGATTAAATTAGAACTGTGGCTTGCCAGCAGGGGTCAATTTTGCTTGACTGGGTTCCTCTCACTGTCAGTGTAAGTGGTACCAGAGGCAGAACCCCATTTGGTTTCCTTCTATTGGTTGTGTCAACTGTTTTGAAACCAGATGTGCTTGAAATGTCAGGACACCCCCCAACCCCCAGAAGGTGATGCCACCACGTGGGAACATTCTCAACTGAAACACTCTTCTGGCTCGTGCTGAGCCAAAAGCATTTCATGCGTTCAAAGACCTTTTCCTGATCAGAGGTCAGGTTTATGAAATGCAGCATATGAAATATGAGCTGGCCTGAGGCTCTCTGTTTCAGTTTTACACGCGCCTGAAGAAAAAGGATCCAAAAGAAAGAAAAACACTCATAGTCCCTAAATCATACAAATAAATTTGGTCTGGAAGAAGGAAACAGCCTGTTAAGCTAAAGGAAGAGCTGTTGGCCTGCTATGAATTCTGCTGGGCACTTTCCATCAGGACTTCAGATATGATGCCTGCATCCTAGATGGCTTGGGTCCACCTTCATTTGCAGCCTGAGTGGGCAGGACCGAGGGAGCAGGTCACTTCTGTCTGGGATGATGGCTGAGACCTGGCCCAGTGTGTTAGCTGTTTTCTTACTTCACTTGGAAATGTCAGGTTATAAATAGTCTGGGCTCTTGGTTTGCTACAGAGGAGGCCTCTTATAGCCACATTTTGCCTATAGCAAGATTCAACATTTGGGATACAGTAGGCAGGACCTTAAAAATGGGACCCTAAAGCAGCAGGAAGTTCAAGAGAACCTCCCCCTGCCTACCCATCTGCCTTCTCTTTTCTAAATGTGCCTTTCTCCAGACATCCTTCCCCAAGTAAGACTTTCATGGTTTTTGGCCAATGAGGACAAGGACAAGCAGATCAGTTGTTGACTGGAACTGGCCCTTGTCCCCCATTTGCAGATAGCACTCACACTTACTCTGGTCTTAGTGCTGATTACTGAGCTGAATAGCTGAGATTTTACTCTATATTTCTCATCAGATAGTGCTGGAACTACTTCCTTGCTCCAAAGTCAGAGTTTATGTGTTTGTTTAGAAGCCAGTCTCCTTGTGGGTCTGAATTACCATCTCCTCACTCCCAAGTTTCCCTTACTAACCTATTTTTCTTTTTGTTTAGACCAATGAGGCAAGCTCAGAGTCGATAGCATCCTTCTCCAAACAGGAGATCATGAGTAGCTTTCTGCCAGAGGGAGGGTGTTATGAGCTACTCACCACTATAGGTAATGTCCAGGGCTGTCATTGCTTTCATGCTCCAGGGGCCGCTGCAGCTTTCTCGGCATCCTCAGATGGATGTGTGCCAGAAGCTGTCAGCCAGTTAGCAGGATTCATGGTGACAAAACTGGCTTTTGTGGGTCTTCTTTGGTTTTCTTCTTCCAAGTATGAAAAAGAGATCACGTTTCCAAGAGAGAAGCTTTTTGGCAATTTTCTCTTTCGGGCTGTATACTTCTGGTGTCCCAGGCCATAGTCAGTTAGAACAGTTGGCTGAGAAGGAACTGATGGAAGGAAAATCAAGAAATAATAGAAGTGAAAGTTTTACCTTGAGTTTTCTTTTAAAATCAGTCTCTGTAAGGAAGCTGAAAACCTTTGTTGCTATTGTCCCTGTTTATGGCATTCCTCTGTCCTTTTAGGCAAAGGATTTGAGGACCTGATGACAGTGAATCTAGCAAGGTACAAACCAACGGGCGAGTATGTGACGGTACGAAGGATTAACCTAGAAGCTTGTTCCAATGAGATGGTGACATTCTTGCAGGTAATAAAACGTGAATGTGACACTGGAGGGTGGGCGCTTAGTTCCAGTAGTAATTACAAGGCATCCCTTACATCTGTCTTCTGAAGTAGCTTCCAGGAAATGAAGTGAGATCAAACCAAGAAGTTATAGAAGCTCTCGGTGAAAAATCTTGGGCATTTGGCATTAAGGATTCTGTAACACTGCTCAGCCCAATTTATATTCCCCTCTTCTTCTCCAAAGATTCCTTTGGGCTCATCTATTTATTATTCAGAGAGGCTAAGCAACTTGCCCCTGGTCATACACACTAGTCAGTGGCAGAGGTAGGATGCACACCCTGACAGTCTTGTTCCAGGTAGGAGGCAGCCTGCCCCACCACAGGGGACCATCTTCCAGCTCTTAATGTCCTGTTAGCCTGATGGGCCTTTCTGTTGGAGAAGCAAGTAGCTGCCCTCTTATTAAACTGGGAGAGGCTGCAGGTCTAGTAACTGCCTGGAGACTGGATTCTCCTTCACAGATGAAGGCACGTGCTGAGAATTCTTTCAAGTTAGGGCCTGGGTCAGTGTATCTGAGTACAGTTGGTTGCAGCCTCTCCCCCATCTTCAACTACAGTGTTTTTCTGAATTCACGCTCATCTGATGCTGCTCTAATACCAGCTCCTTGGTTCAGAGTAATTTTGTGGGTCTGAGGATAGAGCACAAAGTCAGTCCCAGCTCAGCTATTTGGGGAAAAACATATCTGAGTTTGTTCTAGAGCATTCTGGGCTTTGTGATTCTTTATTCTGGAGACCCGTGGACAGATAGCAGGTGCTGCCTATTTAGTCTTGGCTCATTTCCCAGAGCCTAGGACCCTGGAGTTTCTGCCATTCTTTTGTCCAATTTTTTTTTTTACATCTCTGTCCAAATTTATTTTAAAATTCATGTATCTTACACTTTCTATAGCTGCTCCTGAGGAAGGTGCCCTGAGCCTGAGGTCACTGCAGAAATCTCTCCTCATGCTTAGTAGTTATTGTTTGTTCTTTAATGCTTTCTTTCCTTGTTTCTCTTGATAACAACATTTTCCTTTACAACAGGAAAACATTTTTTGTTTTCTTATCTTGGAGAGGAGTTCTGTGTCTTGGCCCTTGAAGTCGAGCTAAGCTTGTAAGTTCCTCAGTCTTCAGTCAGCAGCTTGTTTTTATCGTCTCCGAGGTGAACGGCGACCCTCGGCTGTGTTGCTGGCTGTCCCCCTGTCGGCGGGGAGTCGTTTCTGGATGCTGTCTACAACTCGCGGGCAGAGCCAGGCTGGCTTCCCCGCTGAGACGGCAGAGCCTAGTCTCTCTCATACTGGTGGGATCTGCCTAGGCGGCCCCCAGGATTGTAAGAAGAGGACCCAGAAAGGCCTAGGTCCCCGTACAAGTCATGCTGCCACCTTCATGTTGCGCGTCACTCCTCGGTGCCCCTGGGTTCTGACTGCAGCTTACCATTGCTTTCAGGGGGAGCTCCATGTCTCTAAACTCTTCAACCACCCCAATATCCTGCCGTACCGAGCCACCTTTATTGCAGACAATGAGCTGTGGGTTGTCACGTCATTCATGGCGTATGGTGAGTGGGAAAGGGGTCCTGGCAGAGAGGGGTTCTGTGAACTCTGCTGTCAGCTTGCTGATGTGTGTGTTTTCCTTCTCTGTTTCCCTTCCCTCTGTCCCCACGATTCCTACTTCAGGTTCTGCAAAGGACCTCATCTGTACACACTTCATGGACGGCATGAATGAGCTGGCAATTGCTTACATCCTGCAGGGGGTGCTCAAGGCCCTGGACTACATCCACCACATGGGATATGTGCACAGGTGCTTTCTTGGGCCTCCTCACCCTTTACAAGAGGGGTATCTGGGTGCATGTGCCCTCCAGTAAACAGCTGAAGGTTGACTGAAGTGAGTGAAGCCAGTGTTTAAAGGCTCGGACTCTTGCCCTTGCTTCTGCTGGGGGGACAGAGCATTTCCCCATCAGTGCTGAAGCCTGGTCCTGAGTGCTGTGTGAGGGGGACATCTGACATGTTGTTGCCTCTGCACCCCTGCCCCCTCCTTCCTTGGAGCACCCAGACTGGTGAGTGTGCCCCAGAGTCAGCCTTGTGCCAAGAGGCTCGGGAGAAGACAGATTGCTTGGAAGACAGTGTCAGGAAAAGCGGCTCCTGGTAGGAAAGATAATGAAACTAGGATCCCTACCTAAGTCCACATACAGAGGAGCACTTCAGATGGATTACAGGCCTAAATGGAAACTAGACACTTAGATAAGAGGAAATGTGAGGAAATATTTTTGTGACCTGAAGCATACCATAACTTCTAAGTGTTTTACAAGCACAAAACATAAGACAGGAAATTGATTGATTTGATTATATCAAGATTAAAGCTTTCTCTCCAATAAAGGACACCATGAACAAAGTTAAGAAAGGAGTTACAGTGTGGAAGATGTTAGTTTTGTCTAAAACACACAGGAGATTACTAACAAGGAAATCTTGTGACTCAATAAGAAATGGATAGCAAAGCAGTAGAAAAATGAATAAAGGAAAGAAAGCCCAGAAGACTAAAGGTCATATGAACAGACACTCAAACCTAGCAAGGATCAGAAAATCAAATTAAAGCAGGAGGATGTCACCTCATATACCTAGGACTGGCAGTAATTCGGAGGCTGAGTAAGAACTGGTGCGGCGAGGAGGTAGGTCTCCTGTCCGGATGGTGGGTGGTGGCCCAGTACAGCCTATCAGGGTCACTTGGAACTGGGACCATCAGTGCTGCCTCTGGGTGCACACCCCCAAAGAAGCCCACCCACAGGCCCGTCAGGGGGTGTGTATGTGGCCGCCTTTGTTCATATTTGTGGTGATTAGGGGCAGCACGAGTGTCCCTTCCTGGAAGAATGGATTAGTAAGTGTTAGACCCCACCCCAGAGAACAGGTGGCAATCAGAAGCAACAATTAGATGTATACAGATGGTGGATGGAGCTTGAAAATAGAGCACTGAAGAATGGGATGCATAACACGGTACCGCTAGGTGAATTGAAAATGGCATGCAGAACAGTGATGTACTTTATGAGAATGCTAGCAAGCAACACGCACAGATTAAAGGCAGTGGACAGTAGAGGAAGCAGTGTTCTGGGAGCATAAATAAGAACTTTGACAAAACATAAATAGGTTTTAAAATCTAGTGATTTGAAGAAAAAAGCTGGTGATATGTAAATAGGGTCATTCTGTTTCTTCTTTTTTGTATATGTTTGATTTTTCATAAGAATACGTGTTTATGTGTATATGATACATACATATACATGTATAACACACACACACACCAGGGTAGAGCACTGACTGGATCTGGTGTGTGAAGACAGAGATTCACAAAGTTCGGTGAGGGACTCCTGCTGCCCGGTGACCCCCCTCTCTGCCCCCAGGAGTGTCAAAGCCAGCCACGTGCTGATCTCCTCGGACGGGAAGGTCTACCTGTCGGGTTTGCGCAGCAACCTCAGCATGATCAGCCACGGGCAGCGGCAGCGTGTGGTGCACGACTTTCCCAAGTACAGTATCAAGGTCCTGCCTTGGCTCAGCCCGGAGGTCCTCCAGCAGGTCTGTTCACGGGGTCCCTAGGAGCCCCCATGCCCCACCAACTCGTGATTCCCCAAGGAGACCTTCAGGACTTCCCCGGCGATGGGGTTGCCCTCTGCTTCTGAGTGGAGGAAGGACTTCCCTGTTGGCAGGTAGACCTGGGAGGCCTCTCTGCCCAGGCGTTCCGGGCCCATTGCAGTGATGTCGTTCCCCTCTGTGGGGTCCCAAACTGGACCTCATGCTCCCTTCCGAGAGGCTCCCATCTGAGGGGAAGAGCAAGCATTTGGGAAATGTTTGGTGCTCTCTCCACCCCTGTACTAAGCAGGAGCACTTCCTCCTGCGGTTCCACAGCATCACCAAGACATTCATTCCTCCTAAAATAGCAACCCTTCAGTGGTGCAGGTGAGGAAAGTTAACCACGGGTCCCAATTTGGGTACAAGCATTCTTTTCTTCTCCCCAGTTTTTGCTCCACCCACTTCTTTTTCTATGAACAGTGACCAAGGCTCCAGTGGAGTGACCTGTGGCTCTTTTCTCCTGATTTAGAATCTTCAGGGTTATGATGCCAAGTCTGACATCTACAGTGTGGGAATCACTGCCTGTGAACTAGCCAATGGCCACGTCCCCTTTAAGGACATGCCTGCCACCCAGGTGAGCCTGCAGCCCAGAGGTTTCCTTCTGGCCTCACTGCCTTCTACAAATACTTGTTGAGGACCTGCCACACTCAGGACACCGCCAGGGCTACTAAGATGAAAGACCCAGTCTCTTCCTTTAAGAGCCCTCCCAGTAGGGGAGATAGCTGTGTGACTGTTGACCTCTGTCTGTGATAACTGCGGTGGTAATGGAGCCCAGCTAGGGCAGGGCAGGAGCAGGCTCTCTGCTCACAATCGCATGGCCTGGAGCCTACATACCAGGTGTCTATCTAAAACATATACATCAAGCTAACAAATTTTTATAAATTTGTAAAATATGTCTATCTTCATACCTTGATCAGTATACCTGGAAGGCCAGTTTCTAACTTAGGATTCTTAGACTTCTCAGGTTCTGCGCTACCATGTTCCAGCCAATACCACTGGAGCCTCCAGCCTGCAAGTTCACCTTCTGTTCATGCCCCTTTTAACGACTGCCCTTTGGCCACTCTAGGCATACACACAGCCAGTGGCATTGGAGACAGACCCAGGGAAGAGGCTTGTCTAGGTCTTATCAAGTCCAAGAAGTGGACTTGGGTCATTTGGGCAAGGATACCTGGGTCCCAAGTACCTGGGAGATGATCTAGAACTGGAAGGGGGTTGGGGCAGGGGTGTAGGCTCTGAGTGAGCCTCTCTCTGAACCCACAGACTGCTTGTCCTGTGGGAAGCGAGCAGCTAGAGAACAGCCAAAGGGCAGCTCTAGAGGAGAGGACCCAGGGAGGCTTCTGGGCAGAGCTGACACTTGAGTCTTGAAGACAAACAGGAATTAACAGTGTGAAAAATGGGAACTGGAAGGAGACTTTTTTAGGCAGCAGGAACAGCATGTGCAAAGACCCAGAGTCAAGAAAGAATAGGATCTGGGAACAGCTAGTAGTTATAAATGGCTGCAGTACAGGTGCTTCTGGGGGCTGCTGGGGGACATGGCTGGAGAGGGAAGCGGGGGCAGATCATGGAGGACCATGTGGGCCATGCCAGGGCATTTGGTTCCCATCCCAAAGCACATGGAGAATTGTCAAAGGCTTTTTTTTTTTTTTAATTGGGGAAGGTAATTAGGTTTATTTATTTTTTTAGAGGAGGTGCTGGGGATTGAACCGAGGACCTCGTGCTTACTAAGCAAGCGCTCTACCACTTGAGCTACACTCTCACCCCCACCAAAGGCTTTTAAGCACAGGAGTGATAGCATCAGATACACATTTTAGAAACATGACTCACAGATGGATTCACTCTGGGAGGCTGTTTAGGAGGATATGGAAATCTATCCTAGGTAAGGATCTAGAAAATCTAAGTAAGATGGTAACAGATGTTCAGGAAGGAGTGAAAAGGCTGTTTAAGATAAACAATAGAAACAGTTCCAGAAACAGAGGTGTCCAGTAGAACTCCTGGTGATGATGGAACTGTTCTGTATCCGCACTGTCCAACACGGTAGCCACTAGCCACCTGTGCCTGCTGAGCACTTAAAATGTGGCCAGTGAGACTGAGGAACTGAATTTAAGTTAATCTAAATATAAACAGCTCTGTGTGACTGGTGGCTGCCATATTGGACAGCACAGCTCTAGAGGGAGTTTCAGGTTTCTGCATTGGGTCCCTCGTGAAGGTGACGTGGACATCCGTGAGGACAGCAGTTTCTGTGGTGGGCTGCTGGGACATGGACAGAGTCTGAGGACTTTGGAACAGCTGCCCAGGCCTAGCCTGCCCCTGGGTGCACTGGTCCCCTGCGGCAGCGGCAGCGACACCCCAGGACACGGTGCTATGGGTGCTGCGGAATGGACCCCATCGGACCCACCTGGGAGTGGCAAACTAGGGCCAGGCTTCAAAGAAAAGACCTGGCTGCTGCCTTGACCCTAAGGCGAGGGCTCTAGTTAAAAAGATATAATACCTTATAAAGGGGCAGAGACTGTGCACCCCTTCCTTCCAGCCATGGTGAGGGCGGGTACTTTTTTGCAGTCCTCCTCTTCAGTTTGGGCTAGCTAGGGTGTGGCTGCTAAGCCAGTGGCCAGCACGCCTTTGGAAAAGTCAGACTTAGTCCACTTGTGCCTTCCCTCCCCCTGAATCACTTGTGTATTGGGAAAAGTGTATTTGTTAAGAAACCCTGGCTCTGCCCTCCCCAGATGCTGCTGGAGAAACTGAACGGCACGGTGCCCTGCCTGCTGGACACCAGCACCATCCCCGCTGAGGAGCTGACCATGAGCACGTCGCGCTCAGCGGCCAACTCCGGCCTGAGTGAAAGCCTGGCCACCAGCACCCCCAGGACCTCCAACGGCGACTCGCCATCCCACCCCTATCACCGCACCTTCTCTCCCCACTTCCACCACTTTGTGGAGCAGTGCCTTCAGCGCAACCCGGACGTGAGGTACACCTGCTGGGCTGGGAGGGGCTTCTGGGGGCGCCTAGGCAGCTCTGGAGTTTAAGGCAGGGTTTGAAGGGACGCATCTGCCCTGTGAGGGTCTGGGTTCCCCGGAGGAGTCCGGAGCTCCCATAGCACGAGGAATCAGCACGAGGCTTTGCTGAGAAGCCAGCCTGGCTGTTGTTTCTTGTTGAGCTGAGGGAAGGCTAGAGGGGCACTTGAGGATAAGGCAGAGCAGCAGGATTCTGGAAACCAGGCACAGAGGTGATGCTGGTCTCTCCTCCCCTTTCTCTACAGACCAAGTGCCAGCACCCTCCTGAACCATTCTTTCTTCAAGCAGGTACAGTAGCACTCTCCCAAGGCCCCCTGGGTGTTTTTTTTTTTCCTGGCCTATGGTTCCAGCTACCTTCAGTCCCCTCAGCTTTGAGGTCTTTGGGTATATTCTTCCTTCGAAGCAGAGAAATGACTGTGTTTCTGAAGCCCTTTAATGGCAGTGCTCCTCCCTCTCGTAGAGACTCTTGGCTCCAACAGTCCATCTGTCCCTGGGCCATGGTCCCTCGCCCCATGGTGTCCTGGGACTCAAAGCAACAGGATCCACCCCCAACTCTCTTTCCTTCCCCAGATCAAGCGACGTGCCTCAGAGGCTTTACCTGAGTTACTTCGCCCTGTCACCCCCATCACCAATTTTGAAGGCAGCCAGTCTCAGGATCAAAGTGGAATCTTTGGCCTGGTAACAAACCTGGAAGAGCTGGAGGTGGATGACTGGGAGTTCTGAGCCTCTGAAGAACGCACATTCTCTGTCCCAGGACGTGTGAGCCTGCAAGGACCCTTCCTGAGGGCTGGCCACATTCCTACCCTCCTGGGTGCAGGTTGGGCAGAAAGGACATTTCTGCCAGGAGAGTTGGCTGCTTACTGACTGGGAAAGAAATTCCTGGAGAGCTTTCGTTTATTGCTCCGAGGCTTTTCAGACACAAGGGAATCCCAACAACCAGGGATTGGGAGGGGCTGGAAAGCTGACATTCACAGTCCTGTGAGCTCAGGCACCCTGACCTCTTCGGAAGGAAGAGATGCTGTTCTGGCCCCGGG